GATGAGCTGGTGGTAGGGCACTGGGTCCTGCAGCACATGCCTCCCCTGGGTGCCCCCCAACGTGGGGTGACAGGACAGATGTGCCCATGGCAGGGCAGCTCTGCTGGCCTCGAGCGAGGAGCCAGCAAGACAGCTCACCCCTCTGCGCCTTCTCACTGTCCATCCCTCCCTCCATCCCTCGGCCAGACCCATTCCTCCTCCCAGCCCGCCATGGCATCCTTGTCCTTTCCCAGCTGGCAGGGCTGGCAGCACCGGGACGTCCTCCCCTTGCGGCAGGGAGGATGGTTTAGAGAAGGTTTCTTCCCGCTAAATTCCCTCCCCAGGGGGACGTTTCCTCCTCTCTGAACACAGCCATCATTGCTTTCCCCACTGCATCCCCTTCGCCCTCCCTGCTGCCCCAAGCACCCAGCTGGTGGGACTTGCAAAATAAACATCCTCCCATCTGCTCCCGCGCCCCAAGCCTGGGAGATGACAGAGGCGATAATTACACACTCGGCACAGCAAAATTATCCAGCACGAGGGAGAAGAGGCCGGAAGCAGCTGGAGATCATCCACGGGGAACGCTGCTCCCACCCACTGGGAGCGCACCCACAGGCGCCTTCCTGCACGCCTCACCCCAAACCAGCCTGGCGCTGCGATTTGTACTGTGAATGTGCTCGTCGGGCCCAGGCGGGATGGGGTCTAGCCCTGTGCGAGCACCCCGAGTGCATGAGCTGACGCTGCAGGCGGGGAGGTGGGGATGTGCTGGTGCAGCGAGGGGTTTGGAGCAGCAGAACTGAGGAAAGCCGGTTTCCCGTGGGACCGAGAGTCGTAGCTGGGATCCCCTGGGTCTCCTGAAGCGCAGCCTCCAAGGATGCCATTTTGCCAGGGAGGGTTTCATGCGAGCCATCGCTCATGCACGTTTTCGGTGCCTGCCAGGGCATGAGCGCTCAGATATCCCGTCCCGTCCCGTCCCCCCCCCACTCCCACGAGACCTCTGGGAGGGACACTTTGCAGCTCATTCACGAGGCTCCCTTCCTATCAAACTCCTTTTTGAAGGCAATTTATTTCCCCTCAAAGGAGGGTCTGCAAAAGTGGACGGTCCATGCAGAGACCCTCAGAGGTCTGCGGGGACGATACTACCTGATTTCCCATGCACAGGCAGGTCTGGGACTGCAGCCCACGAGGTGCATCAACCAGAAACATCCTAGAGAGGAGCGAAGAAGAGAAATAATATTAGTAGGAATAATAACAGCAATGAAAAAAAAAAAATACACCTGCTGAAGGGAATAGGGCACAGTGAATTGTCCTCAAAATACATCCAGGCTTGACGGCTTTACGTTTTGCCCCGGAATGAGTTAATATTGGGCACGCAACATG